AGAGCAGAGCAGGCAGACTGACGAAGTACACTGCTGAGGGGAGCAGTGAGCGGCAGGAGAGGTCTGTGCGCCTGCAATGACTATTGTTATAAAAACCAGATATATTCTAGGATTTAAGTTAAATTCTGAAACTAACAATTTCCTTTTTATAAAAGTTTTTTTTTTCCAAAACCCAGTGTGCTTATCTTTTTATTTTGTATTTCTAATTTTGTAATTCTTATATGCTGTGTTTCATCACTGCTATCTCTTTTTAATGTTTCTGTTTCTTGTCTCTCCAGTTGGATCCAGTTTTTCCTTTGGGCGCTAACAGTGAGTTTTATAGAATGTGATTTAATAGATGGTAGATCTAGGTAGACCGTGTGGCCTCATTAGGTAGATCTGTTACAATTCAAAGGCTACCTAGGAAATTCCCATAAATGAAATACAAGGGAAGGGCCTGGCAGAGTGACAGCAAATGTCAGCAATGATCCAGTAGTTGGTACTCTTGAAGGTCTTATCACTATTTTGAGTTGGAAATTATGGTTTAAAGAATATAAGTATTGCTCAAATCATTTAAGTTATACGTTGTAGGATTGAGAAATTAATTTATAATTTGGGGTAAATAACGAGGGACACTTAGTAATGGATCATTGAATTAACAGGTCTACAATTTTTTCTATTATTCTTTAATATATAAATGATTCCTTTTGAATAGAAATCTGGAATTCAGTTTGTTTCTGCTATGGGAATGGAGAAATGAGGGACATGATCCTAGAAAGTATGTGTAGAAATGTGATTAGGGTAGACTCTCAGATTATACAGTGACATATTCAATAGATTTATATTTTCCTGAATAATCCTTGATTTGTTCAAATAGGGTATTTCCATTCCCTTCAGACTAAGGTACACATTATTTAATATGCCTTATAAAGTGCCACATTATCTGACAACTTCTGATTTATCTTGATTCTAGATAATCTTCTCTCACTGTGTTATCTTAACACACACTATTCCCTCTGCTACAAGAGTTGTCCTTTGTTTTTCCTTCTAGCAAAATATGCTAATCATCTGAAGTATCTCCTCCATTGTAAAATCATATCTGTACCAAGGGACTGAAAAAGGTGTTTATCAAAGTCTCCAATGAGCATTATGCTTACCTTCATTTAGAATACTTAACAAAGCATCTTTTTATATATTCTTTAGACCCATTTTCAGACATACAGTTCTGGAAAGCAGGGTCATGTTTCCCCCCTGGAGTAATCCCTGTACCAAGCACTTTGCCTTTCAAATGGCAAGCAAGTAATACATATATGAGGGCACAGGGGGAGATTCAAGAAAGGGAATTAAGGCTTCTTTTTTATTACCTATATTGCTTCCTCACCAAATGCTGTATCTACTTCTCATCCAGAAATAAATTAATCCAAAGCAAAAAGGTTTTAGGTAGGGGGGCCTCCCCTGGTGCCACAGAGGTTGAGCACTGGGCTGCGAGACTGCCGGCAGCCTCTGCAGGGCCGGTTCGTTCCCAGGCCGCTGGCAAGGGTACCACAAAAAAAAAAAAAAAAAAAAAAAAGTAAGAACTGTTTTTTTTTTTTCCCCCTAATCCAAGACATTAATAACATTTTTTGGATCCAGTTATATTACATAGACCATAAACTGGACAGTTTATTGTAAAGGGGACCTAATTAGAGTTCAATCACCTAAGTGGGTAATTCTGAAAATAACAAAGTCTTAGCCTTGGCATGTACTGTGCTATTTTATATATATATATGTGCATGTATGTATAGTCACACACATACATATACACACATGTACATACATGTATGTATATATATAAGATAAAAGTACACACACATATATCTTAGGTAAAAGTAGAGTGAATATGACATAGTTGGTTGTGATTAGAATATGTGTACTTTCTTTTTCCTGTCCACACCTTTCAACTGCAGGTTACAGTACAAAAAAGAAGACACTTATAAAATTCAAAACATCCTAGACATCACACACCTGAAATTAAATTAGCATATGTAAGCATAAGCTTTCTTTATTTGTATGGCAATATTATCCATAAATGTAAAACTGGAATTTAGGAAGATCAAATATTTATTCTCGATCAGAATACCAAATTGTGCCACCTCCCACATAAAGATATTCTTTATATTTTTAACTCTTATAGCTAGTTAGTTGTGCTTTTTATATTTTAAGCAAAAGGACAATGTCCAATAAGTGGAACAACTTTAGGTACATTTTTGATATAAAGTAATTGATACTATAAGTGTAGACATATAACAGAAAAGAAAGCAAATAGAACTTTAAAGAAGGGAACACTTTTAGTGAAAACAAAGAAATAAATGATCATTTCCTTTCACTTTTCAGATAGAAATATATAGGGAAGGGACATGTGTCATGCACTCCTTATTTCAAAGAGGTATTTTTTAATACTTTATTTGTATTTTAAATAAAATTGTAAAGACTAAGATTTTTTAAAAGCTTACCGAGACACATGAACAAAAATACAAAAAGTATCCTATAGGGGGCACTCAAGTACTATGAACTGAAACATCTGCTTTTTTCCAGTCAGATTTTGTTTAAATGGAAAGGGGTAGACTTACGGGTACATATTCATCTTATATTTTATATAAAGAAAAAAAGTGAGTAAATAAATGAAAATGCTCCGTTACAATTCAACTATTCCCCAATGAATGACAAATGGATGTTAAAAGATATGATTAAACGGCATTCTGAACCTTATTCAGAAAGCATAAACGTATGATAGTGTAGACAGATGAGTTGGTCTGTATTTTCAAGAATTGTTCTATATTATAGTTCAATGCCAGAGATAATTATCATTCTTTTCTGGAGACATTTAGTTTCATAAAACAGTAAAAAGTGCTTCATTCTTCTGGGTTTTAGAACAGAATAATAAGAGAAACTATTTAAATTACTTTTGAAATAATACTCCTAAAGGGGAGTTAGTCTGCCACTTACACAGAGAAATTATAACAAACAATGGTGATTGATTTTTTGGGAGGGGGTCAGGGAAAGGTGGGGAGAGTTTAAGGCACAACTAAAATCTTTCCTAGCAGCTTCTGTGTCAGATGTTATTTCTACTGAAGTACATTTTGGTAACTAATATTTTACTTCAGCAAAAACTTAAATGAAAGCCTGTGATGGCACAACTGAAATTGAAAATTTGTGTTTTTGTTTTTGTTTTCTTTTGAGTTATGGGACAGTAGAGGGGGAAATTGTCTTTAGGTGTTGAAATTGTCACTGTAAAGAAGTTCCTTTTTGTTTTAATATGGTCAGTATCAGGATAGCTTAAACATTAGCCCCTAGATGACCTCAGGTTAAGCATATGAGTCTTTGTAAGCAAGTGAAAGTTTTGTTGTTTTCAGAGAATTGTGCTTAAGGTAAGCTTTTGACTTTGAAAACAGTCATGTGTGAGTGCTAAGTGCTTCCTTTCATTAGCTTCTTATTCACCACTACATATTTGCAAATAATGAAATCACTTCTAGTACCATCTGTGACATCCATAACTTGAAACCCCAGTCTGCAAGTATGATTGAGTCCTGCAGTTTGTTTGCATTATGAAGCAAGATATTAAACTCAGGTTCTTGATGCACTTTGAAGGGATCAACTTTTAAATTAAGAGATGACAATTGGTAACTATTAAGATTTCTTGGATTTAACACATTTATAATGGGCAAAGAGGATTTTCTGGACTAATCTTGAATAGAAAACTGTTATATTGCCCAAAAAAATATTAAGCTATGTGTTCTATTTTAGATTGGGAAACTGACTACCATAAATCTAAATTGTAGGGAGGAGTAGAGGGCAGAGAAAACCAGTTTTCAGAGCTGCAATATCAGCCTCATAGTTGCCTCTCTAACATGAATGAGGCTATACGTTGCTTTCATTTACAACCTACAGCTTGGAGTATGGTTGGTTCTAAAAACTACTCAGCCAAACTCAGGCTTGGTAATTAGTTCTCCTTCAATATATTTTATAGTTTGTAAACAACAGATTATATTACTCTGTCTGTGCTATTTGCACAGTGGTTAGATGTGCCTTTTGGAAAAGTCCAAATTGATTAATTATTACCCTAAGTTCTTGAATAAAAAGAGAAGACTAATATCACCAATCCTTTGACTAATCTTTTATATACATATTCTTTGAATATAGGTCAATTTGTAGTTTGGTATATAAATATATATATATATATATATATATATATTTCTTTTTACAAAAAATCAACACACTTTTCAGGTACAGACCAGTAAAAATCATAAAAAACTATCATTTTTCATTCTTTCTTTTGGCAAGAATAAACAGGAAGTTAAATTATAGTAAATTAGATTTGATATCCAACTAAGGATAAAATTGAAACTTATTTAGAAATAAATACATTTAATCACAAAGAACAATAGAATAACATAAATAAAAATATCTTGGTCATTTTATGTTCAAGCATAGCTATTCATACTCTACTTATATTGTTTGCTTGTGAATAACTTTGTCTTAACACTTTTTGTTATTGTTGTGTCATAGGGTTTGCAAAAATATGTGAATGATACCCTTGATAAAATCTATTTACAATGTAGAATGTAGCAATGAAAAGTAATAAAAGCATTTAATGGTGTTCAACTATAATTTAACTTTGCCAGTATTCATGCATGAAACCACATATTTTCACAAATCCTGATAAATATGCACAGGTCTAAATGTCACTATTTTTCTTCCCATAAGAGAAGTTTGACACCAAATTAGGGCATTCTGTTCTGGACTAGAAAGATCCTTTTTGCATTTGAGATTTTATTGTGATTAAAAAGTATAATTTTCATAATAGAAAAACATTTTAGAGGGCAAGGATATATCCTACCCAAGAACGTTGATTTTTTTCTACTTAGAAAAAAAAATGTTTTAGGAAAGTTAGATCTGTAAGTTTTCTTTAAGGCAAACTTTTAAAAATATAAAAACTCAACATTAAGAGTATTTCACTTCGCACACACCTATTTAGTACTTACTCTGTGACAGGCACTGTGCCCAAATGGAGCTGTTGACAGCCTCTGAAAAGCAATTCCCAGCGGGAATTAAGAAGGTACACCTTGAAGAAAGGTTTGTTTTTTCTCGTCTTCCTTTTTAATTTTTTTCTTCTTTTTACTATTTTTAAATTTATGAAGGCCTTTACTGATAAAGGAATAGAAAAAATAGAGCATTACAATTCTTATAAAATCCAACAAGACAAAGCAAAACAATCTTTCCTAAAGTAAAAAGCAAATAAACAAAATCAACTAACTTGGCCAAAGATACCATAACCACAAAGTACTTTTTATAATTTAATAGCAACTCATTTATTAGAGTATATGAAAAGTGCAATTAATATAATTCTGATATTCTATCATCTTGGCTCTCTGTCAATTGCCTGTACTAAAACTTTATCTTTGTCATTGTATTATTCTGTTGCCTTCAGATATAAGGGTGTTTTCCATGGTACAAGATACAGGGAACAGCAGATATAGGAAAGATTAAACAAGTTCAAGAGAAGAAGTGAAAAGCCATTATTCAGCAATAAGACAAATGTCTCTGTTGCTGGGTATCCAGTGTAGGGGAAAGCCCTACAAAAAGATTATATGGGTATGAGGGTTAGAAATTGTGAAATGCTAAAGAATATATAAACAAATCTTTGGAAAATACCATTTTGATACAAAATAGGGAATTATTATTTTTTAAAGACTTATTTATTTAGGTACACAAGAACTGGGGTACAGGCTAGAGTTGTGGGGCAGTGGGGTAGTGAGAGGATTCACCAGAGACAGAGTGGGGAACAGAACAGAGAGACTGAAATATACTGCTGAGGGGAGCAGCAGGAGACAGGAGAGGTCTGCTGTGCCATGGGAGTTGCTCCCTGGCTGGCCAGTGATCTTGGCGACAGAACTTGTGATGCAGAGGCTACATATATCTTCACAGTGCGTTGCTTAACTCCTTATACCACCAGGGAGGCCCCAAAGTAGGCAATTATTAAATATAAAATAGATAAAGTGCCTGAAAGAATCATTAGTAATTGCTATAATAAAAATAAATGAATAAAATTAGAACTTGACTTTTGTGAGGTTTTTTTTTTTTTTTTTTTTTTTTTTTTTATTTTGTTCTCTGAGTCTGTGTGTCTCCTCAACACAACAGAATCCCAGGGTCTGATTAATCTGGAAGAAGACACTGGCAACATTTCTGAATATTCTGAATTTGCTGCCAAGTTCTAGATCAAGGAAAGTTTGATATGCTGGTTGAACTAAATTTTGGTACCAACTCAACATCTTTGAATACATATTTTGAGATTTTTTTAATTTTGTCAATTCTAAGAGAAGACAGGTTTCTCTCTAAAGGTTTACCTGTAAAGATATTTTCCAAGAAAAATGCAGCCTGGATTTTATGGGATGGCCTCGTCTGTGGCTTCTGTGTGTTATAACTGCAGTTTCCAACAGACTGGTTCCCACAAAATCCTAGTGCATCAACCCATTAACACAGGGATGATATTTGTTTTAGATTATAAACTCCACTAGTGCTTATAGATGATGCCTATTTTTGTTATACTTATTTGCATGGTGCTGAATACTGTGGCTGTTACATAATATATAGATCTTTAGTGAATTAATGAATGCAAAGCCCCTAGCGCACAATCCTCTGAGTTAGGTAGAATTTAAAGTAGCATCAACAAAGTTCACTACATAATACAGGGAAGGGTCAGGATCAAGGACTGTTTCTGCCATTAATAAAATATGTGATTGGGCCTCCTCGGTGGCGCAGCGGTTGAGTGCTGGGTTGCGAAGCTGCCCCTGCCCGCAGCCTCTGCAGTGCCGGCTAGATCCCCTGCTGCTCCCCGGCCACCGGAGGAGGGTCCCACATGGCTCTCAGACCTCTCCTGCTACCCGCTGCTCCCCTCAGCAGTGTACTTCGGTCCTTCTGCCTGCTCTGCTCCCCGCTCTGGCTCTGGTGAATTCTCTCACCCTCCCGTGCTTCTGACTGTACCCAGTGCTTGTATAAATAAATAAATCTTTAAAAAAAATAAATAAATTAAAAAAAATATGTGATCTCTGGGGGCCTCCCTGGTGGCGCAGGGGGTTAAGCACCGCACTATGAAGCAATCCAAAGCCTCTGCAACAAGAGTTCAATCCCTGGCTGGCCAAGGAGCAACCCATCTGGCACAGCAGACCTCTCTTGTCTTGCTCGCTGCTCCCCTCAGCAGTGCATTTTGGTCAGACTGCCTGTTCTGTTCCCCACCCTGTCTCTGATGAATCCACTCACCCCCCGCATCTCTGACCTGTATCCCAGGTGTTCTATGCATAAATAAATAAATAAATCTTAAAAAAATAAAATATGTGATCTCAGAAGACTCACCTTTCCTTGTTTAAGGTTTTCCATGTGTAAAATGTAGTAATCTAGAACTGAAGAATGTTTTTTCCAACTCCAACAATCTGTTTCAAACTAAACTGAAAAGCAAAATGCGAGGACAGAAAAGACATAAGTAGGTAGAAAAAGACTTCAAGAACTTGCTCAGACCAGGGCATTCTGACCATGGAGATCAGGCAACCAACCCCCAGCATGAAATGCAAACTTAGTTCTAGCAGCTGGAGTAGGGGAAGTGGAGGTCACCATGACCCGAGTCTGTCAGTATCAAAAAGCCCTGAGAGGAACACGCCTTATAATCAGCAACTGACTTGAAACTTAAGGGCTATTTCCACACAAGTAAAGTGGCAAGGGTTTTAGTGACCTTTTGGTATTTCTCTGTTACCGTTCTCCTCCCACAACATACATTCACTGATTGCATTATTACTGATTGTGCCTTCAGAAGACATCCAAAAAGCAAAATAGAATTTGTCTCTTGAGTCTATAATGTTACTGTGAAAAGCAATTGTTGCTTGATGAGGCTGTGTAAATTGTAAACACTGTTTTCTTTTTCTTCTTGGGTCAAAGGTTTATCAAACAAGAATCAGAAAACATAAAAGAATCCGTATTTTTCCTATAAAAGTTATCATCCACTATCTGTTGCACATACATTAAAACATTTACAGATAATGACACTAATGATAAGCTGGGATTTATGTAAAGAGAAAAGCTTAATTTTCCTGGACATATATTTTTGCTACTAGGTTTAGTTAGATAATTGAGTCAGACTTCTTTTTTTTTTTTCAAGTATATGTTCCTCCTACTATTTCCTAAATGATAGAAACTAAAGTCATACCAAATAATACTTAGTTTGCTAAATCTTCATGTCCCGTTTGAAATGGCAAGTTACTAAACAGAGCACACTTTGAAAGAAAGCAGTTTAGAGTGTGCATTGTATTGTTGCAGTTTGAAAATTAAATTTACCTGCAGCTTTTTTTTTAGTGACTTAGTCCAGATTAACACTATTTCAATTCTAAAGCACTGCTAACATTTCTTGATAATTCTGGGTTAAACCCTGCTTCTCACTCCACCCTCCTCTCTACTGCTTCCGTTTCTTCTTTCTCTCTCTTCTCATCCTGTGTCTGGTGCTGCCTGGCAACTTCTCTGTGTGGAAAGGCAGAGTAAGAACACTAGCAATCCTGGGAATGATAGCTGCAGAAATCCCTAGCAACCTGACTTTTCAAGACAACTCTCCTTTACTCACATCATTTCTGTGAGACAAACTGTCAGTCTTGGTTTGTTTAGACACTCGCCTGCTCTCTCCTGCAAACATGACTTTCAGGTATGTAGTGTCTGAATTGTCATTCTCTATGGTAAAAAGCAACAACAAAACTAAAAAACAAATAAACAAACAACCCAACAGTACAAAAGAAATAATTAAGTTAGCAGAAATGAAATGTCTGATCACATGTATGTAAAGTATGGCTCTAATTGGGAATTATAAGATTACCCCTGCCTAATAATTAATATTCCTGTGTTGTTTTAGACCAGAAAGTAAGAATGATTGGTTCTACTTTGTTTAATTTATCTTAATGAAAGATTTCATAACATCCTATAGTTTGATGAATTAATTTATTTAACTTGTCAGTGTTAATAACTCCTGATTAGAGTGAAGAAATTATAATGGGCCATAAGAACAAACAATTTTAATGGTAACTCTAGATAGTCCTTCATTCACAATCTATTTTATTAATTTCATTTTTCATTAAAGCATCATATGATGCAAAGTAAAAGTATTTTATAGAAAATTATGTATATGATTTCTCTTTTATTTGTAATCAGTTATAATTGAATGACCATTCGAAACCCTGGAGTAAATTATTTATTTTTAAACTCCAATTTTCTCTCTACGTTCACCAAACTCCTTGGTGCTCACCAAAGCTGTTTCTTTTGATGAACTGGTCATTTTCTTTCTTTTTTTTTTGTTTGCTTTTTTTTTTTTTTTGTTTATACATGCACTGGGTACAGTCAGAAGCACTGGAGGGTGAGAGAATTCACCAGAGCCAGAGCGGGGAGCAGAGCAGGCAGAAGGACCGAAGTACACTGCTGAGGGGAGCAGCGGGCGGCAGGAGAGGTCTGCGTGCCATGTGGGACCCTTCTCTGGTGGCTGGGGAACAGCCGGGGATCAAACTGGCGCCGCAGAGGCCACAGGCAGCTTCGCAACCCAGCGCTCAACTGCTGCGCCACCGGGGAGGCCCTCTTTTTTTTTTTTTAAGATTTATTTATTTATGCATACAAGAGCTCGGGTACAGGTCAGAGGTATGGTGTGGGGGATGTAAAAGGATTCACCAGAGACAGAGTGGGGGAGCACAACAGGCAGATTGACTGAAATATACTGCTCAGGGGAGCAGCTGGCAAGTCAGGAGAGGTCTGCTGGGCTATGTGGATTGCTCTAGACTGGGGATCAAACTCATGCTGCAGAGTCTGCGGTTAGCTTCAGTTAACTTCACAGGTTTTGTCTTAACCCCTTGTGCCACCAGGGAAGCCCCGAACTGGTATTTTTCAATGGTAGTTTGAAGAACCTTGGTATGGAGATAATTTTGTGTGTGACAATTTTATCTAGCTAAAAGCTTAATACTTCATGTGTTTGCTTCATGGTGTAAATCAATGTCATTATAATTTTTGTCTTTAAAATTCTGTTTGGCACACACTTAAGTGTACATGTTCTATATGTAACTAAGCATCATATTCCATTAAATTACTGTGGAAAAAAGTTTTATATCATTAAATTCTTTGTTAATAACATTTGTTCACATTCTTAAAACCCCAAATTTTATTTTGTTATTTTAAATATAACTTCAAATGTAATATTTTTTACATGTTATTGTTAATTTTTAAACCCAAATTTTATATTGTAGACAAAATTCAGGATCATTCAAAGTTGATTTTAACTATGCCACTCCCCTTCATTGGTACATTAACCTATATCTTGTAAATAAGCTTCCATATTGCTACCATTTCATACCACCATTTTGACTCAGATATCATTCATATATAGTGATTTGATTGGTGATCACTAAAGAGAAATTCTATTTTGTGTTATTGTGTTGGTCACAATGTGTGGGCTATTTATTCTTGATTTTTACCATCCAGGCCAGTTAAAAAGCCAGTCAGAGCATCTAAAGGAGATCATGAGGTTTTTATCTTCCTAATTCAATGAATGGGTTAGTTACTAGGAGGTATGTCATATTTAGAATATAACATATCTGGATATATAATAGAGTACAAAATTGATTGTGCATTTACTTCTCTTCTTATCTTTCCTAGCATTTTCTTTCATAGAGTTAACAGTAGAATCCAGGGCTACTCTGTATGCCACAGAAGTGAATGACTCACTGATTTTCCATCAAGGCACTTTGGTACATGGTAAGAGTCTGGTTGGTTGCACTGTTCCTGTATATTTTTCTTAACCTTGCAACTTTTAAGATGGGAAGAGAAGTATTTGCTGGTAATAGCATAGAAGAAGAACCTGGCTGTCCCCCGTGGTTTGGGAATACTCCTCATTTTAGTGCTAACACTTAAGTGGATAGAAGTTTCCTGGGGTTTGACCTCATAGTTGATTGAATGGGATCTGATAAGAAAGATAGCTACTTGCTTTGTCCTGATGAAAGGACAAGTATTTCATAGAATGTGGATTTATAGGCCTATGGATAACTAAGGGAGCAATATTTATTATTTTGAGCATCATTCAAAGTTATTCTCTCTCTCTCCCTCAGCCCCATGGTCTTCATAATCTTCTATAGAATGTTCAACTCTGATCATCCAGTTTGAATTTTTATATGACATAAAATAGGAAAAAAGAAAACAAAACAAAAGCCTCTCTTTTCCCCCTTTATGGTATTTTATTGTTTCATTATGAAACAATAAAAAGTACTAGATAAATTGGTAAATTGATGTTTGACAACTCTAGAAAAAATATGCATTTTAAATATGGCACTAAATGGTTCTATTTACAAGGGCAAAGACATTTTAAAATTTAAAATATGGCAAAATTGACATAAAAGACATATTTTTATCACAGCAGTAAATATGAAATGGTCAATTTTATATATTCTTGGCGATGTCTGTCATAGTCACTTCTGTGTGCTTTGATCTAATCTAGTTTTAATGTCTTCTAAAATAGCATCCAAAGATGTTTCTAGATAATTGTACTCTCATAAACAGCTAACTCATAGGGCTAGTTTAAGTCCCAACCATTAAAATTAAATAAGTTTAAAATATCTTTCTTCCACTCCTCAATCATTCTGTGCTTGTTCTTTTCTCATAGCTATTCTTACCATCCACCTCAGATTTTATAATATTAAATAGAAAGGATTTTTCAACCTTTGTTAAGTTGCAAGATCTTCATCTTCAACAATTAAGATTTCTAAGCTTTAACTCCTTAACCATTTTTTGAATGGCTAGCTAAATTTTTAGATTTTCTGTGATCATGTTCAAAAACTTAAGAGACCATACAAATAACTTTCTAACTGATTCAATTTGATGCCTTGGGAAAGTTTTTAAACCACTTCTGTACTGTGTGGAAAAAAAGAAAAGAAAACAAAACAGAACCAAAACCAGCTGAAAAATCCTCAAAGCAGGTTTAAAATGGTTCTTCTCCAAGGTTCCCTGCTTAAGAACATATCTCTTTTCCCTTCCCTTCCTAGGCATTGGATAATGACTTTGGGGGTTGTTTTGGCTTGGCATTTTTGTTCGTTAGTTTCTGCTGAGTCACTCAATTTTGTATTTTGTCCCCAGGTGCTACTCAGCATAAAAGTTAAAAGTGCAATTCACAAAACATTGTATTTATGTGTTGAGCGGAGGAAACCATTTGTCTAAGAGAAGCTCAGTTATTTGGCGTGTCCTTCTTCCCGGGGAAGGAAGCTTCCAGGAGCAAAGGGATCAAGTATTTTTTTTTTTTTTTTTCCATTTTTTTTTTTCCCTGGGAGAGAAGCATCTGAGCGCTGTAGCTGATAATTGCGTGCTGGCTGTTAAATGCGGAGCTTCCCGGGCGCCTGACTGACTCAGCCCAATGCAGAAGTCCCCCCCTTCTCTAAAAACCCAAATCCCTACAGAACCAGCTTGGAGTTACTTTCCCTTCAAGGAGACCAAAATAATTGTGATTTGTGGCGCTCTTAGTCCGCGGTGGTATTTTC